ATATAACAAGAGATTCAGGTCATATCGCACCATCGTATAACTTTATCAGAAGATTCAGTGACGATAATTTGACGATAGGAATTGACTCGGATACAACTCGATGAGTCATGCGGGATTCGGATCTTATACATACTGTGTATCGGGATCATATCTGAAAATACCGAGTCGAATATAACTCTATCAACTCATATCATTATTAACCGATACTTTGAAGAATGCCTTAGCACCACCCTTTTCACAACAGCAATCAGCAAACAGGTGAACATGCTAAAGCACAAAATAAGTACAAGTACTAAGAGTAGGAAGCAACTACAGAGGAAATGGGTAAAAGACATGACTATTGTGTCGTAAACAAGAAGGAGGGGTATAAAAATGATTATTATGTTGCAAACAATAAGGAAAAAACTCATCCATTCTCAGATTTGAGTCTCCCAATGGGCATTCTGGTTAACTCGAAGCATGTAATTTTTGTATCTTCGTGTTTATATGTCAATCACTAATTAAAAAAAGGCAATACTATAATACTAAAAAATTATAAAAATTATTTTTCAGTTACATACCATAATTACTATAAACTCATCGTGAAATTAGATTAAATTTAGTTGACCCAAAAAAAGTTATAATTTAAACCCAAAAAAATTGACTTGAGCCAAAAATGAACTGTAACTTGCACCGGAATGAACTATAATTGAATTGATCAGGTCATGGGACAAGTTTCAAGGGTAGGATGTGTTTGGATGTCTTATCTGTGGTCTGTGAACTTTGATGTTTTGATGGTTTTGTGTACTGGTTAAAATAGAGTACATCCTATCAGACAAGGTTTTCAGGAGATAACTTTTCCGTCCCATTTTGGACGACGAAAATCTTAATTAGAAATGAAATTCTCATTCCTAAATTCCTAAATTACCATGTTTGAATAGTCAATAATTCAGTAATTTAACTCGAAAATAAAATTCTTACAATAATTCAATTTCCAATAATAGTGGATATTCCATACCAATGGCCAATGGTAGTAATCTTATACCTTTATTGATTGAGCATTCTATAAATGGAATAAAAATCTCAAAATGAACCTCTTTTATAAAATTAACTTCATTTCAAAAATAAAATTCTCCTCTTAAAATCAATTCCTTTCTGAAATTAAGTTCTTTCCTAATATAATTTGGCAATGACTTAATTTTCACACTAGATTACTAAAATATTATTATAGTAATTGAAACCCGAAAATGCTCATTCTCAATTAAGATTATTGTCATCCAAACGTGCCTTTAAAATCAAAATTCAAAATTCATTTTTGGTGGTGATGATAGTCTTCTGGTGTCTGGTTATTGTTTCAGTTCCACAGTTTCCCACAGAATGTGAGCTGATCAAACTTGGAACTCAGTTTTTTTTTTTTTCTTGAAAAGTGTAATGAAATAAGGGAAAGAAAAAGGAATGCCCCTCTTAAAAATTTTATTTGGGAGAAAGAGATGAGAGGGAGGGATGAACGCATTTGCTTCACAATGTGAATGCATCTGAAACAAGATAAACCTTGAAACAATATTACATACTAAATTCTGGAAAAGAATACTGATAGGAATCGAAAAAAAATTGGATAGACATAAAATGGAATATTGTAATTTTATTTATTTTTATTATTTATTAGATTATTTAGTTAACATTATAATCATCTCATTAGAAGATTTATATAGAGTTTTTAGCTATAGAGTATTTTTTATTTGGGTAGGGCACTTGACTTTATAATGGTGCAATCCCAATTATTTGAATTAGTTTCTCCGCGGAGATTTGTGTTTCTTAACCTAATCCGAGGATTGGTTATCCCCTTCGTTCCCTCTCTGCATCAATTACCATGTAGAATCGATTATCATGCTTCGTTCCAAGGACCAAAGAATCAGTTCAATGGCAAATCCCCAAAATCCTTGTGCTCCACAAAAGCATGTAATGACATTGAAATCATCGAACCAGTTTAATGGCAAATCCCCAAACTCCTCGTGCTTTTTGGACCACAAAAGCATGTAATGACATTGACATCATCGAAGTTTTTATTTCTACAAAGGAGACACCACAAACATGAGCTCCAAAGAATACAAGATAAAAATGCCTTGGCCACATAGGGGTCATATGTTGAACAAATCATATTCACTTCTCTCAGATTCATGCAAGTGAATGTTCATATCGCCCTTCTATTCAACAAACAAAAAAATAGGTATTTAATATATCAACAAATTCACCCTATGAAAACGGACCAATGGTCTCTTTGACTTGTGAGCAACAATATGTTAACATGGCGAATATTTATCAACACTTGTAGACGCCAGAGGGATCTGCATTTTGAATAACCCATGGATGCTCAAGTACTTTGTGTAGTGGCAAGCGTTGTGAAGAATCCTTGACAAGCATCTGTTGGTAACAAAAGGAATATGTAAAACTCCCATGTACTTATTGTAATGTGTAATAGATTAACATGTATTGCATAATTAAAAAATTGATTTAAGAATTAGGTATAATATGAGTGTTTTAGAAGTTTGGAAGTATTCTAAATCTTAGACCTATATTTGAAATTAATCGTAACTTTTTTATCCTGATATCCAATGGATCTGATTTTTAGGCATTAGAAACTAAACTTTAAGGGCTATAAATAAATGTGTATTTCTTACAAATTTCTTTGAATCGATTTCTAACCAAGTCAAAATTATTTTAGAAGTTCAAACAGAAAAATGAAGTACGTTTAGTTCTGACAGAAATAACAGGAGATATTGGAAGTAGACATTCGAACTAAATTCACATTCAGATGTGAGTGCACTTTTCACAACGATTAGGCTGGCAACGACTGAATAGTTTTTGACCTTATAAATATCCTAAGGACATTCTTTAGGTCAGTTTTCAACAGTTTGCAACCCTAGAAGGTTAAGGAGAGTTGGGAGAACAGAACATGGAGAGATTTACGTGTGAAATTGGAAGAATTTACGTGTGAAAATCAGAACCAAATACATTTGAATCAAGATCTACGAAAATTAAGGAAGGGTTATTCCTCAACTACACTCATTGAAGGTTAGGGTTTTCTATATGTATGTTTTGATTCCTATTCAATTATATATGATAAATTCATAATATTTTTACACTTTATTGATAAGATGATCCATTTTTGGTAGAATTACATGTTATACATCACAAATATCATGTTCTTGATTTAAAAACCTAGTTCTTGATTATGATCAATTTAAAGATGTTTCTTAGAGATCTCTTGCATATTTTATTAAAGTTATTCTAATTTGAAAATTCTGGTTTTTTATGTAATTACTAAAAGAGTAATGCTACATAGACTTAAAAACTAGACTTAAAAATTAAACTTGATAATCTCAACCATTGAATAGGTAGTGGGTCGCAAAAAGTACTGGGACCTACAGTGAAATCAATGGTTGAGATTATCAAGTCTACTTTTTAAGTCCATGTAGCATTGCTCATACTAAAAAGATGAGTTATCTCAACACACAATACTTATGTAAAGTGAGACTTTGTAACGTCCTGTCTTCTTGAAAATTTCAAACAACCTTAGGATGAGTTCTTTTAATTTTAAGACTCCTTAAAGGAATATCCTAGACCTTCTCTAAGATATGTTATAGAATATAATGAGAAGTATAACAGAAACCTAAATATTCTTATACATTTTAAAAGAATAGATATTTGCATAGGAGATTTTAGAGACACCATAAACATATAACATTTGAAATATTATAGTCATTCATATGGTAAGATGGATTCCATTTGCAAGAACAAGCAACCAAATCTTTGCTTAAATTTGAGACCATTTTCGGCCCAGATTCCCATATCAATCGTAATGATTCATCACTTGGTTCCTTCAATTAATGGAATTATGTACAAAAAACTTGAATACAAAAGCTAAATTTGTATTTTTACAACGCAAAAATAAGAAAAATATTTTGTTAATAATTATTTTATCGTATCTATGTTATATTGTGATGGGGCCTCATCTAATATTTTTGCCTAGTGCCCAAATTTTGGTTGAGGTGACACTAGTTCCCTATCACTCGTAGTGATTCATTATTTGGTTCCCTATCACTCATAGCAGAATTGATTAAGATTTGTCAATGCCGATACATCTGTATATGTGTTTTACTGTTTGTACCCTTAATTTAAGATCTCATTACTTGTCCTTGTTTCATTTCAAATTATGATATATTATTTTATCAAATGAGACTTACCTATTTTAATTATTTTGAAACCTTGTTTGAGTTTGAGAAAATTTCACCCTACGATATAAACATATTTTTAGACTTTGGCTTTGAAAAGGCAGATCATGCTAGTTTATCTATATGTACATGAGATATAATTGTGGTGATCAACTCTTCTTTATATAATTTATTGTTTGTACCGTAAACTTGAGATCTCATTAATTGTCGTTTCACTTCAAAGTTCAAATTATGATATATTATTTTACCAAATGAGACTTAAATGTTTTAATTATTTTGAAGCATTGTTTGAGTCTGAGAAGGTATTGGATTTATTTGCACATATATTTTCAAATGTTGGCTTTGAAGAGGACATAACCCTAGGTGAGCAATTTAATGGGATAATAAGGCGGTTCATGATGTGAATGCAAAAGTAGATGTCTAGAGATGTTTCTTTCAATTTAATTTCTAAATTTGTGGATGATTGGATAATGTTTTGGAATATTTATTTTATGAGCTAGTTGGAAGATTATGGGTGTGTTTGGATCACAGGTAAAAGGGGATAACACTAGTAGGATAGGAGAAAAATTATATGAGACCCATTTATCCTGCGTTTGGTAAGACAAAAAGTGTACCAAAAATTCTGCTCGGGTTTATCCTAACCCGATTTAAAAAGTCAATTTCAAATTGTTTATGTTTGGATCATCGTCGTGCCCACCAACGTCTCTATCTATGTTTTTGGATCTCCATTCACAAATCGATTTTGATTTTCGTTTTTTTTTATGATATGATTTGCAAAATAGCATAGATCTAGTTCTGTTTAGTGTTTGGATTTGCTACCCTTTTTAAGTTTCTGAGAGCTTTTCTGTGAGAGTTGTTTTTGATCTGGTCCAGTTTTGAATTGTTCATTTCTGTTGTTTGTTTGAAAGAGAATAGATCTGAATTTGTGATCTGAATGGGTATGCTATCGTTTTCTGATCTGTGAGTTGCGGTTATGCTATTGTTTTGTTATTAGATCTTTAACTTTGTGTGTATGTTAATTTGTGATGTTTTGTAGAAGTTTAAACTGGAGGACAATACTATATGAAACCTTCTGTATATATCCTTGCTCTAATTTATATTTGAACTAGGGGTAATCCAGACACAGTGCAATGTGAATGGCTTTAAGAGAGATGATGGTGGCCATTGGATGAGTCTATTTGAGACCATCAAATGAGCTTATTAAAATTTGTCGTGTTTTATATTATAGATTAGTTGCAAAAATAATTGATGTAAAAGTTCATTTTTTTTGTTTGGAATGAAGTGAATGTTAATTTATAAACCAAACATGACGATGGATTAGATATACCCATTTATATCCTAACCGAATGACAGATACGTGGGTTTAGATTGGATAGGAAAGAATATTTTTTTAGATATTCAATTCACTTCAATCCCGTGATCCAAACATACCCTATAATTCTAGTTTTGGATGTAAACTCAGAGTATTCGTGTTTCATTGGAGATTTTATTTAGTTAGATGATGTGAATGAGTGATATTAATTTATTTTATGGTATTTTAATATGCTCTCATAGTTTGATGGTCTATAATTAGTTGATGAATTTAAATGTGGATTTGGGGCCTTATAGAAAAAAAGGGAACAAAAGGATGTTTAGTGAATTTGGTTTTGAGAATTGAGAACCCATATCCACATGTCTCTTTGCTAGTTCCTGTCCAAAAAAAATTGTCTTTGCCAGTAAGAAAACTAACCTGACTGATGAGGTCCTTTGCAGATGATGAGACGATAGGCTTTGGAGGGAACTTTAGGTCCACTTGAACAATCCTGCACAGGAACATAGATATTGAATTCATCTACGCTACATCATCAGTAATGTGAGTAAAAGGTGCACATACCAACCAACCAACCAAACTAAATCTTATATCCCAATCATTTAGGATCGACTATATGAGTGTCTTTACCATTCATTTTGGTCATACGTTATACCCTAATGTAAGTTAAATATTTTTATATTTTTTCTTATGATTTCGTTCAATGTTAATTTAGGTCTACTCCTATTCCTACTCCTAGTACCATTAAGAAAAATTTTATCACTTTTTCTAATTGGTGCCTCCGTCGGCATCCGTTGAACATGATCAAACCACTCTCAACTTATCCCCCATTGGAATTATTCCTACCATTTCTCTAATACGGTCATTTCGTATTTTATCATTTATAATTTTAGGAAAAGGTGCACATGAAAAAACAAATATTCAGTCCACTCATTTGAATTCATCTCTAAGATATTTCATTCCCTACATGTATTTTGTAATCAAGTCATTAGAATCTGAAAAATAGCCTATTCATCCTAGGAATGGCCTTCCACAATTTCTGATTAAGAGACATTCCAATCCAACCTCGAATATAATTTTTTTTTTTTTGTGGGGTAGGAATAATTCATAGTGTGTTTATCCATTAAGCATCTCATATTCACCTTCTGTATGTGTCTGAGTGTTCCTTGGCTTCAAAAGGAGGGACCCCGTATAGAAATTCATAGCACAGGACACCAAGGCTCCAGATATCCACATTTGCGTCATGCTCTACGCTCTCAACTGCGAAGCAAACAGTGCACCACTGCTTATAAGTACAGGAATACAGAAGAAATTTGGTTGTATGTGACAAAAAGATAGTATTCTGAACAAGCACAGGTCATCAGTTTCGTTAGACAACCAAGATGAATTACAGCCTAATATCAATTTCACAGCCAAATTCTTCCAAGACTGAAAAACAAACATTTAATGTATAGTAGTTCCATTATTATCGGAAATATAATTTATGAAATAGTTAACTGCTATTGAAATGCACATACCCATCTCAGGAGGGAGATAATCAAGAGTGCCACACATTGTCCGCCGACGGTTGAAAGTGTGGACTGACCACCCGAAATCTGCAATTTTAAGTTCTCCCTGACGGAGAAGGCTGATAAAATAAGCATAAGGTATGCCTCATCAGAAAAAAACTAACCAAATAATTACAAAGTAATATTCACCTGTGCCCCAATTAAAAGGTTCTCTGGTTTGATATCTCTATGTATTACATGCTTTCCATGGCAATATATGAGTGCCCGAGCTAATTGTGCAGCATACTGTTCGACGTCCCATTTGCATACAAACAACTACTTATCAGCCTTGACATAAATAGAGTAATAAAAATCGTCAATTGTAACACCTCAACCAGAAAATTGCAAAGTATCCCCAAATCATCATAAATGGGACGAATATGGAGTATTTGATTACAATGAGAACAAGAACCTCGACTGATGCTTTTTATCAGTAAAATCCTCTACACACAACTCGAGGATGATGATAATGACAAGTGGAAACTGATTAAAGTAAATTGGGGCAACGGCATGATAAGAACTTACAGTAGCAGCACGTCGTTCACTAAAGTACTTGCATTTCTGTAGCTCCTTGTAGAGTTCACCCTTGGCAGCATACTCCAAGATCAGATAAACCCGTTTCTGCAATAATTGTGTTAGAAAGTTAAATAAATTGGGCAGATAATTTCCTAATTGGGTCAGACTAGACTAAATAATTTCCCACCTGATCATAGAAGTACCCATAAAGCCGTAGAATATTCGGATGTCGAAGATGGCTCTGTATTTCAACTTCACGGCGAAGCTGATGCTCAACCTGTGACTGTTTCAGCTGGGTCTTGAAGAGCACCTTCAGTGCCACAATATGATTGCTCTGTTTCAGGAAAAAATATACACATTACATTGGCCATAGGGTTAAACACAATCCAAAATGATGATGCGGGGATAACTATTTTTCCAATTCTTTTATACTTTGTTTGGCTTCCAAAAAGGCAAATATTTGAAAATCATATAGTCATCAATTCAACCTAATTGGTGTTAAATTTCAAGCATGGATGCTAAAGAATATCAGGTACATATATGAACCATGATTTGAGAACAAAAACCTTACATAGGCCGAAAAATTGAGTAGCAAAATACATGCATTTCATTATAACTGAGCTTAATTTCCTTCGAGACCAAACCACCCAATCTCAGCAACAATTGATAGAAAATGATTAAAAAACACATGTTTGAGGTTTGACTGATCCAATAGTTTCTTGATGCCAAAATCTGGAAAAAGAAAGTGCCAGAGCATGGAAACAGTATCTAGAACATAAGAATTAAAGTCAAGATCACCATACCCTCTTTTCCCTCGCCAAATAAACATGACCAAACTTTCCTCTTCCGAGTGGCTTCCCAATGTCAAAGTCATTTAAAGTCCATCTTTTGTTCGCCACTGCTGCAACCTCTGAAGAAGCCTGCACAAAATGAAACCTCAACGAGTATTTGAATTACCATTTATGGCTGCTAAACAGAGAAGAATGCCAATCGCAATCATTAAAAAAAAATCAATCTCTCAGCAACAAACTCCAAAAATTACATCTCTTTCCCTGATTCACTACAGAACAATACATCGTCGTAATAATCCCTGATAATTTTCAAGTAGAAAGGAAGTCCTTCGAAGTCCAAAACCATAATTCCTAAAATCCTCATGACTGTGATTGAGTATAATACTCTGGTCCGCACAAAAGCCTACCTCTGAAAGCTTCAAATTCCAATACAATAAACCATTACCCCGTCTAAATCATATGTAATCACTATTTTTTCTCTTGTAAATTCCCAAGCAATGCGTAATTACATATTCAAAAATTGCACTTTCTCTTCTCTTATTTTTTTTTCAAATAAGTTATCTGCAACCAAACAGAAGACGACTAATTGAAAACCCTAGGTCATCAATAAACTCGCAAGAATGCTACAAATGAAATCACATTTGTTAACGAATTGAACATGAAGAAAAAATGGTCAAAAAATTTCATGATTGAACCGTAAAAATTGGAAATGTAGATGATGCAAGAACTTTCTTTGCCTTTTCTTTACCTTCTGTTCAGGCTGAGTCTCTGCTGCTATCGCCATGAGCCACGGAGAAAATGTTCGTAATAGAGAGAGAGAGGGGGGGGGGGTCGGCAGAGACGGAGAAAACGGTGATATGAATGAAGAGAATCTCCTGTCACAACGGTCATATTTTGTACGGCCAGCCACGTGGTCCAATCAATCTTGCCTTACTTGCTTTTCAAAAAACCACTTTCATGTTTAGGAGCGTCTCAGAATCTGGTCAGCCACCGCCACGAGACCTTTTACGTGCTTCAGTGGACCATCGCCTGAGTTTGATGCCTACCAGATTTACGATCTGGATCTACGCATAGAGGTATTTTTGTTTCAAGCAATTTCGATATAACCTTTTTTTTTCTTTTTTTTTATTGATAAAAAAAATATATGTAACCCTTTTTTTTAAATTATTGAGAATATAAATACGTATAAAATTATTCATGATCAATAGTAAAAAAAAAAACTAAAACCGGGTGTCAGCTGTGTCGGATAAACAAGTTCATATTGGATCTAATCGAATTTTTGTGAAAAATTATTCAACATGTACATGATTTATTAAATCGTGTATGATTTATTTATTAAATAGGTTACAATACACAGTTCATTGAATCCATTCAATAAACTTTCTTTATTATTATAATAAAAAAATAATTATTAATTTTTTTAAATTGGTCTAATTATTAAACTGCATATATTATTCTAACTAAAAAAAATTGAATAATTATTAATTTTTTATTATATTCATTTTATTTAAACGGGTTGATATATCTTATCCAAACACGACTTATTTATTAAACAGGTCGGTTAATACCCCCCGCCCAAAAATCGCTTAACTCTGTATCAATTAATCATGTCGTGTCGTATTTTAACAGACTTATTAATACTTTTGTCTACAAATCATTTTATGATAAGGTAGGGAAAATTATTTTTCTACCATGGTACTATCCGGTATTATAGGGAAAATCGGATGAAATTAAGCCAATTGTAATTTAATGTCAGGATGGGATCAAGTTATTAGGGTTCGTTCAAACGTAATGAATTTGTTAGTATCAACTGATGCTCTAGTATTATCTAGCATTACATGCTTAGAGCAACTCCAAGAGAGTTGCCAAAAATGGAGTGTCAAATGTCATTTTGTAACCTTAAACAATGTTTTGACACCCCTAAACAATGTTTATGATCCAATGGTAGGTGCCAAAATGTGGTGTCATTTTAATATTTTAATGTTTTTTATTAAAAAATATAATTAAACTTAACAATTATATTTTAACGGGTATAGTTTTTATAACGATCGCAATTTAAAGGATATATTTTTATAGTAAAAATTTAAATTTTCAATACATAGTTTTTCGTAAATAATAGTAACATAATAAATTAATGGTATAATATGACAATACAAATAAATTAATGATGTAATATGACAATAAAAAATAATTAATCGTATAATATGACAATACAAAATAATTGAATACTGTAATATGAAAATACAAAAAAATTAATAGTGTAATATGACAATACAAAATAATTAATCGTGTAATATGACAATACAAAATAATTTTGGTTAGAATGTGTCATTTGCCCTCAAATAAATAGTAGGCACCGATTTCCCACACCGAACAAACCCTTCCCCTGCTATACAATCCCTACCCCCTTCCCCTTTCCCTTCTCCAAACCAAATCACTCAAAATACCAATGAGGCAAGACGATTTTCGGACACTATGCCAGTGAGATAAATATATACTAGTGAGGCAAGACGATTTTTCAGGCAATATATCAGTGAGGAGTAGACACCTCCTTCCCCTTTCTCTTTCTCTGAACAGTAGACTCAACGGCTTTTTGCAATCTCTCTCCAAAGTTTGCAAATTTGTCACTCCAAACTCATAGTTGCCATTTTGCCAACCCAGATGTCATCCCTCTTTTGAGTGAATTTTTTTGATTATGGGGTGGTATTTTGGCGATTAAGGGTTTGTCACCCCAGATAGCACTCCCCGTTGGAGTTGCTCTTAGTATAAATTAATACTATATAATAAGTTGTAGCAGAAAATATTTCGTATCTTAATAAGACCAAATCAGTGGTGATTAATTTGAAAATTGAATACATTGAATCAACGGAAGGAGTTGGATGCAACTCCCCATTACAAGACTAATATTCCGTTTGATAAGAAGAATGAAAAGTAAGATAAATACATTTTCTATCTTTCAAGGAAAAAAATTATAAATAATAATACACTTTCATTCATTTGTGTTTAGTAAAATGGATGAAAAATAAAAATGACTATTTTTTTTTGTACTGGCTAAGATTAGGAATGACAATTGAGTTGTGTCGTGTCAGATTCGTGTTGAGTCATTACGGGTTTATGTCGAACATTAGTCAAACCTAATACAATTCATTTAACTAAATGTGTAGTATTGAGTTATGAGTTGACTTGTTTATTTTTATGTTGTGCTCGTATTCGTATTCGTATTCGTGTTGACCCAAATATAAACTTTGAATAAAAAATTTAATCAAGTTCGTGTCATAAAATTCTTGTCGAGTTCGAGTCATGTTGAATTGAAAATTCTCACTCCTACCTAAGATGGAAAAAACAAATTTAATTAAAAATTTTATTTTTATTTTTATTTTTTATTGTTAAATTTATTTTTAAAATTTTTTAAAATATATATATAAATACATATTTTATCATTGAATTTTAATATGAAATTAATGTATACATAATATATATATCAAAAGATATATAAACAAATAAGATACATCTCAACACAAATAATTAACTTTCTATCCACTTTCCTTCTGATTTTAGAGGGATTGATTTTAGTGAGTTGAAAGGAAAGTTAATTCATCCACTTTTCCATCATTCCTATTTTCTTTTCTTACCAAACATGATGTTTTTTTTATCCTCCAACTTTCTACCATTCTATTTTTTCATCATACCAAACAGAGCATAACAAACTTTTATAAATCAGGATTTAATCGGCTAGAGACGCTATAATACTTAAGTCAATAAGAGAATTAAAGTTAAGCAAGCAAATGCAAAAAAAAAAATCTGTGTACCTTAGATTTAACTGATCCGGGATTTTATAGGGACATGCCCGACTTCTTAGGACTAAGAATCTTTATTGGAATACGATGACACATCAAAATTTCAGTCTAACCCTTCTTCATTGGTGTTTAAAGTTTTTTAGGTTCCTTTCTCATTATTCGATTTTCTTAAACCCGTATGTTATTAATGTGCACATGTAGTGCTTCTTGACTGTCTTCGGCCATTGGTTGATACTGAAATCTGTTCAATTGGACCCTTTTTTGGCTGGATCATAGGTATTCTATCTCACCAAATGATCTTTTTTAGTATTTGACATGCATCGTATGCCACGCATTTTCATTAAACCGTCTAATCGTGAATGGAGATATTTTGAACTCTTTCATTAGCTTGTGAACGAACAATAATAACCACTAAATGTTGGATTTTATGTCTACCTAATATTGAACTCTATATCTATTTAATATATATCCTATTTACTAAGTCAAATCCTTCTGGTAACTGATGTTAAGGTAACTATCCACTACTCCCATCATAGAGCAGTATTGACCATCATAGAGTAGTTGTAACTCATTAATAGAAGGACGGTAATTGCAGTTTCTTTATTGGATAAGGGTCTCTGCCTATATATATTTTTATGCCTGTAATTTTCCATCAAATCATATGGTATTCAAATATCATATACTTAGGTAAGAAATTTTTGTCTTATATAACTTCATACAGTACATATTTGTAAAGTTATTCTTAAGTGTTCTTCTTAAGTGTTGAAATCAATACTGTAATACAGATTCGTGCTTGTTAAGATCGTTGGGTTCGTTGATTATTCGCTCTATAGAGAATTCGAATTTTTTGTTCTCGAACTTGAATATCAATGGCATGAGCTAAATATTCAATTCCGCTATGCAAAGTAAGAAGATTAAATTCTTCAATCAAGTCTATCAATTGGTATCAGAGCCATTCTTCTATCCATTTTATTTAGTTATTATGATTATAAGAAATTATATTTTATCTGCATTCCTTCTATCGTATGTTTTTTGTTTGACGTATGTTCAGATATTTTGTCTACAATCCGTATTTTGTCTCCTCTAAAACATGCCTTGACCATTAAAATGATCAAAAGAAAACTACATAGGCTTGGAATTGGGACGTGTGCCATTTTCCTGAAACATGATTTGATGATTGAAAGATTTTTGTTTCATTTTGTGCACACAAGAAATTTTTGGTTGATTATAGAAAACCTTCGATCAAATAAAAAAGCATTCTGTTTAAGTTTTGAACAAGAAAGTTTAGGCCAAGACAATGAATTTCATTTATACCCATTCAGTATTTGGCTCAAAACTGTGGTTCTATAATTGATCAATATTTTTATCGAACTGATTAATATTTTTTTTTGAAATTAAATTTATTGCGATATAAAGGAGATGTTCGATCAAATTAAGGTCATTAGGTTATGTTTTCACAGTGATAATTTCATTAATCCTGATTTTAAGCCTACAATGGATTCAGCCCATATATTTGGTTTATCTGATTTAATTTTCATATTTTTGGAATCACTTATTTTGTTATATTTGTTTGGTTTTAATGTGATCTTTAAGGCTCAAAAGGTTGAATTTAGCTATAAAAATAATAATAATAATAATAATTCAGTAACATGCATGTTATCAGAAACAATGACATGTTATCAAGAACAGTGACATTACCTTCATGCAATGACTACTTTTGGTTAATATTATATATCACATATGGTTTGGAAAGTCACTTGTTTAAATCTAAGAATTGTTCACGGTTATAATTTACATGGCTTATACACATGGTTTTGCTTCTAATAATTATTCAATAATATTAGCATGCTTTTAGATTAAGTTTGGTTATAATATATGCATGTTAGACATAAGCATTTTTAAGGAATTATTTGTCCGGAAGGATTTATTTACGTCATGAACTATGTTACATGGAGATATATATCATATTAATTTAAGAGTAGCCACAACATATTGAGTTATATTAGTGAATGATCAACATTTAATTTGATCATATTAAATATATATTTAATATCTCCATATTGTAATTAAGTTGTTATAGATAATTACTCGGCCCCACAGAGAAATATTTATTTTTATACTACTTAATTGGAATAAAATATTGAATGAGGTATTAAGGGCTTTGGATACCTTATACCCACAGGTTTTGGGATCCTTTGCTCCTTAGTATCTTAATTTATTAGTCTTATTATGAAAAATAATAAGTAAATCTTGTACAGTTTATGATCTCTACTCATAGGAAGGTTTAGATTTCCTCTATTGAATTTTACAGTTATTTTTTCAAAGTGCTTATTATATTATTGGTTATTGCAGTTGTTGTTACCTCTTTATTTAATGAGTCTTCTAACATTCCATCGCTGAGTGGTAGAATTTTTTCAGATTGGAAAGACAAAATTCTCTTGACATTAGGGTGTATGGACTTGGATTTGACACTTCGCATTGAAGAACCTCCAGTACCTATTGAGTTAAGTTCATTGACTGCAAAGAGCGCTTATGACCAGTGGGAGCCATCTAATCGCCTAACTCTGATACTCATCAACTCACATGTGAGTAAGAGCATCAGATGTTCTATTCCAGAATGCGATAAAGTGAAGGACTACATGAAGGCCATTGAAGAGCACAACCGCTTTGATTCGTGCATTATTTGTCTCAATAAAGTTTGAAAAGTTATTTAATTATATAACCATATTCAGTATCAATTGTTGGTTACCCAAACTATTCACTATTCTCATCATCAGATGGAGTGACCATCATGGAACAGTTGTAACTCTTTGATGGACGGATGTTACTTGCAGTTTCTCTATTGGATAAGGGTTTCTGCCTATATATATTTTCATGTCTATGATTTTCTATCAAGTCATATGGTATTTAGATATCATATACGTAGGCAGAAAACTCTTGTCTTATATACCTCCATACAATACATATTTGTAAGGTTGTTCTTGAGTGTTGAGGTCAAGATTGTGAGACAGATTCGTGCTTGTTGAGATTATTGGGTTCATTGATTATTCTCTCTACAGAGAATTCAGATTTCTTGCTCTTGAACTTGAATATCAATGGCAAGAGATAAGTATTCCATTCCGCTGTGCAAAATAGGAATATTAAATTCTTAAATAAAATCTCTCATTAAAAAGTTTAAGGGCCTATTTATAGGAAGTAAGGATTAATTTTTGAATTTTATGATCCAAATTAAGTTTTGTAATAGTATCATATTAAAGTTAATTTTGGATAAATTTTATACAACTTGAAATTTAATATTAAGGATGACTTTTTGAATGACCTTATTGCATAATATTGCTACTATTTGACCCCCCCCCCTATGGTGATAAAATCCTCGCTCTATTATTGAAGATAATAATATGATATCATTGTTATATTAAATATTTACTCAAATTATGATAACGAGAATGAGAGAGAAAATTTGGATTTTAACCATCAACAGTGCCCACGACATTAATTTGGTGTCAATCCAACCCAGAAAATAAGAAATATTGCAATTTGGGTCACGATCCCACATGACTAAGAACACGTCCAACCCTTACTTTTTTTGTACCTTAATTTAATTTTGGGTAAAAATAGTTTAAAAATATTTCTCCAATGTCAGACTCATACTTATACTAAATAAAGAGAAATCTTTTTTTAAACTCAAATCAAGGGAATCCCTTTTTTAAACTCATATTTAATGGTGAGATTACACTCTCCTTTAAAGATCTAATAATCATATTTTACCCTCTTTTAAATTTTTGTTTCTCTTTATTTAAATTTGAAATTTTCTTCTTTTAAATTTGAGTTTCTCCATTAGAAAAGTCTACATCAAATCAAGTTTTTTATTTTTTTTTACTCAAATTTGGATAAGGATTTTAGGTTCCCTCGGAAATGATCACCAAGGTAGAGAGCGTTTTATTATTTTAACGGTCAATGTTATTTGTTTTAATCTTGGAACAATTGTAGATGTTTGTCACCTTAAAATATAAATATATTAAAGAGAGAAAGTTTTAACTATCAGGCAATTTTCTCAAGCAATCAATCAAAATTGGAATTTTTACACCTGTTGAATATCATGGCAATACCCTAATTATTATTATTTTTTTTAATTCAACGATTAGGGATGTCCGTACTAACTCACTCGACTAATCTCCTCTCTGGTTTTACCAGAGGTAATTATCCACGCCGGGACTATGGTATTTATGAGCAATAAATTTCTCATAATTTTGCCTCAAAGATTGCTAAAATTCAAACTTAAAATGTTGAAGTTTATAATTTGTCCATATGATCAACAAGATTAGGGATGTCAATTTTATCCATTAACTCGAATCCAAACCCGACTCTACATGACACAAAACTCGAAAATAACATGATTTGTTTGTTGACATGAATAATAGATAGATCAAATTAAGATTTGACACAAATAAGACGATTAATGATTACTGTAGATATAAAGTAATTATTTAGCGAATATTGTAAACAAAAAATAAGAATTTTTTAATTTTTTAATTTTTTAAATAATATTATATTAATTGTTATGAAATTAAATAATTTTTTATTGACACGAATCCAACATATACCGAAAGTGACACGACATAACATGATTGACACCCCTGAACAAAATATATATAGCATGGCCGCAGTTGAATTATTTCTTCCAATTTACTTCCATTACGACTATGACACCAAAAAATAATTATTCAATACCATCTTTCTATGTTGAGATTAAATTTTTTATAGTCAACTTGTAAACCAATTGATTACAGACAGCCAATTAACACAAACAAACTAATTTTGAAAATTTCTAATAAATTGATGTAGTTGTCAAATTTCAATAGGCTGTCTGTTAGTTTACAGGCTGACCGTAAAGAATCTATTCTCTTAACCTCTTTTGGGTAACCCGAAAAATGGGATAGATCTATGAGAAATCTCATTCAATTAACAGGCTGACCGTAAAGAATCTATTCTCTTAACCTCTTTTGGGTAATCCGAAAAATAGGATAGATCTATGAGAAATCTCATTCAATTAAGTTAGATATCGTAGATTAAAATGGGGCACCAAAAGAATTGACTACTGAGCCATAGGAGGTAAGAAACTCTTAAGTACGATTCATAGGAAAGGAAGTGACACAGTTATTCCTATTGCTATTCCGACCGGAGAGAACAGGCCATTCGACTGGGAGATTTTGAAATTGCAGTGTTCGATCACAATATGATGTGTCCAAAAATTTCTTATTCTATTTTGTTAATTAATGAATGAACAAAAATTAATTAGGATTTATGAGGACGGTATTAAAAAAGTAACTTTTAGGACGATAATCTTATTCTTAACAAGGTTTGGCTTGGAAGTATCAGCAGTCCTACCATAGGGATGAATAGAGATCTTCCTTATCATGCACAATTAGGAGTTGATAAAATCCCTAAAAATTATTATTTGACAAAAAACTAGATTTTATTAGTCCCAAAAAGCAGAGTACAAAAGAAACACAGTACAGCAGTCAAGCCCAAGCCTGCCCACAAATTAAAAAAGAAAACTTAAAAAAAAATGTGAAAAATACTACATTTTGCATGCATGCATGCAAGTCAACGCAACACAACACAACACAAGAGCAGAACCACCACCTTGCCACCACACACTACCACCACTGCCAGCCATTCAAGACGCCTGCTGAGTAGGCTCCTGACCCTTTTGCTGCGCATACTGTCCTGTCTGTCCATAATCCTTGGCCCTCTCCTTCATCTCTCTAGCCTTACTTGCAATCCTTGCCCTCGCATAATCAAACTGGTCCGCCCCAGGCGGGTGTTTTCCAGCCGCATAATTATATATCCACGACAAAGCCACCAATGCCGCCACGCCGCACCCACCGGAAAACAAGAACCCAGTGGTGACCAAGAACAAAACTATCCCACCCGGGACCAGAACCGGGCTGAACAGAACTAGCACCGGAGTAGCAATGATCAGGGCCAAAACTGTCCCGGTTAAGGTTATCCCGGATAAGCCTAGCAGCAAAACACCAAGTGTTGCTGCAGTCAAGAATCTAGCGGCCTGACGCGAGTCTGGAGATGACTCTTGGGGCCTTTGGGCCATGGGTTTTTGTTGATCGGACATGATGAACGGCTGTGATTGAAAGTTGGGTATGATCAAAAACCAGGTTTGTTTGGCCGATGGGACGATCAAAAACTTGATGAGAATGGTTGAGAAAGGTTTGTGAAGTGGTGGGATTTATAGAGAGAGGGTGGTGGGGTGGAGGAACGGAGAACTGGTGGAAGCATGTGACACAGTCATCTTCTTGGTATGTGTGAGGAATCATCGTGTATAGAAGGGTGTGCAAGGTGGTAGAGTGGTGGTGGTGTCTCTGGTTGATGGGACATGATGGATGACAGATCAGAAATGGCTACGACATTGATAAGAGGAAAAAAAGAGTTTTTTTTTTTTTTTAAATTAGATGTTTAATATCATTTTTGTATTCTAAATGTCATTATTTTGTATGGAAACATAATTTTAAATTCTCATTTTTAAATATAAAATTTACAAAACAAGCTACTAAGATAATAGAAGTGTACTTTGAAAATAATTCTTATATTAAAAAATGTGAGTTTAAACTACTAGATAATTTAAAAAATAAAAATAATAGGATGATATAGAAGTAAAATTAGAAAATAACAGAAATGATAAAATTATTTCCAAGAAACAAAAATATTAATTGTATCTCATGGGTGGGGATCCTCAATACGCCATGGTGTGTTGTTTCTTAAACGAAACAACATTATTATGTGTAAACTAACATCGTTTTGAGAACATCACCTAAAACAACAGAGGAACTTTATCAAAATACTATATTCTATATAAAATTAATTCTCTTATAATTTTACAAAGAATATATGACGTGATTCCTTAAGAATTCGAACACCTTTATGATTCATTTGGTAAGATGAATGAAAAAATAAAATGATAGAAAATAAGAGTGATATATTTCAAGAATCAAAATATTATTTCGAAACGGTCGAAACATCCGAAATGTTTCTGTTTTCAAAGAGACCGAAACAAAACTTGATATAATCGAAATTCTAATATTTTGAAATATATTATAATATTTTAATATATTTCACAATTACTTGAAATATTTCAAGATACTTTAATATATTTCAATCTATGTATTAGTACAATAATTCTTAAATTTTTTATTTTTTTCATTATGTTTTCGAAACGAGTCGAAACATTTTCGAAACAAGTCAAAACGTTTCCGTTTCCTGGGTGACCGAAATAATACACTAAAATAAAATTTTGATCCTTAATATACTTTCTATCTTTTAAAAAAAGAATCATTCCTTCACTCCTTTGTGTTTGATAAGAGGGATAAAAAATAAGGATTAATTTTTTTGTGTTTGGTAAAATAGATTTTTTTTTATTTTTTTATTAAAAAATACATACATAATATGTAATTGATAAATATGATATGTAGACAAATAATATACATTTTAACACACATAATTAATTTTCCATCCACTTTTCCTCCAATTTTTGGAGGTTTTAATTTTGGCGAGTTACAAAAAAACTAATTTATCCACTTTTTTATCTTTCATATTTTTCCTTCTTACTAAAAATAATGTTTTATCTATCCTTTTAATTTTTCATCTTTTCAATTTTTCATCGGCCAAACAAAGCATTAAACTTTCCTGCTCATGCTCAGTTAGCACTTGACATGGACTACATAAGGCAAGGAGGCAAAGATAAATAATAAAGAAACGTAGGAATTATGGTGTCTCTTTCTATTTTCCAATGAAGAACTAGAAGACCAAGAAATAATCGAGAAGAAATTTACAACCATAAGCCCCAGAAGGCGTAAAAACTGCCTGTACTATATATTGTCAAGCATTAGTGTGTACCTCTAATCTTCTTTCTTAAAGACCATCAGAACATGGAGATCAAAACTAAAACAATGGTTAAAGAATCATGTAGCTCCAATCTCGATTATAACTCCTACTGGTCAACACCAATGGCATGCGCAAAATGCTATGAATTTGGCAGCAAGAGAGAATAAAGGCTATGAATCCTTGTAACTTATCGGATCAGATGTTTGTGAGCTTTGATCTGTTTGTAGCCGATACGAAGGAAGAAAAGATGTGGGATCACAAATGCCAGTCCCAAGCAAAGTAATACCAAGATTACAACCCACCAGGCTTTGTGAGGGATGCCTAATGATAGTTCGTCGCAAACTGCCACAAAATTGATCAATATTATAAGAACATCAAATAAGGTTTCAACTTTAGACAGTGTGGATAATTCACGCTGTACCAATTCAAGACAACATAAAGATCTTATCAAATCTCTCATTTTTTCATAAATATACCCAATACAAACAGATTAATGAAACAAATAAAAGAAACACCTAAAACTGCATATATCATGACAAGCTATATGTCTCTCACATGCTTTTTTAACAGATTTTTGTCTGTGAAACTCAGATTAGAAAAGAATTAAGAAAATGAAAATTTTTTGGCCTACCAACCAAGGCTTCTAAATCAGAAAACGCATTACTGGCTACAAAACACAGATGACTTATAGTGGTTTCAGAAATGCAACATGCATGCTAAGATATAAGATAAAGCAGCAGGGTTGGAAAGGCTGCATTTTGCATTATGTTTTGGGACTATAAGTTATATTTAGCAAGCTTCTAAATCATTTTATGGTCGGACATTTCAGGACACCAGAAATTTAAGTATGGTACCGCAGTTTTGTTTAATTCATTTGATCTTTAACCCAACACAGCCTCTGACGGGAAGATTAATATTTGTGATTTGTTGCAAGGTGGAAAACCAGCTACTTGTTTGTCCCCTCAGTTGTGTGTATGAGTAGGAAAAATTGCAAAGTGTGGATCATCTCTTTATCTACTGTTCTGTGGCTTTCAAAATGTGGTATAAAGCTCATGCAGAGTTTAGCTTGAGTTGGGCTATTACAAGAGACCGTGTATACTCATTCGAGATTACTGATGGCACTTTTTGGGAATTCTATCTTGTGGGAATGTTTGACAACTCTTTGGGAGGTATGGATGGAAAGGAATAAGAAAATTTTTGATGATTAGGAAGAACTACAGTTTCTATGAGACAAAGCAAAGTTCTTGGCTTCCTTTTGGGTCATTGCTGCTAAAGAATTTGAGAATGCGCCATTTTTCCCCTTAATATTGATTGGATTGCGGCATGTAGCTAGATGATTGCCTTTTAATGTCCTAAGCTTATATTGTTTCTTTCTATCCTTTTTGTTTTTCCTTTTGGTGGATTTCTTGTCTGGTATATTGCAATCTTTCTTTATTTTGTGAAAGTTTAGTTTCTTATAAACAAAAAACCAACACAGCTTCTAATCGTGAGTACTTGAGGTTGATTTTTGAATCCCGCACCTCCGTTAGTTCTATGTAAAACTAATCCATATGATTAGCAATCATACCTTTTCTTAAAGGCCCACTCACTTCTACTCAATAACTCCTTTCACTCAATTCCTCTTATCTTTTTGGCAGCTCAAAATTAACTCTTTCATGCAAGTGCTTCCATTAGAACTTAGTAGACAAAATTATTAGAATCAAATCACTATACCATGCAACTAAAGAAGTCCTAGATTGTTAAAGTAAAACATGGCCGCCCAGAATACTTTGCAAGATTGATGAAGGGTCATTTATTGAAATTCAGAAAATAAACATTGCCCAAATCATTAATATATTTCTGGAGCAAAACTTAAAGTACTTCCATGTGAAGAATGCTTCAAACAGACTGAAACAGCTGGCAGTTCGTAAAGCCTTTCATGCACCCAGTTACAAATACATATCTTGTTTTATGTGAGCAACAATAGAGTTGAAGCAACCTTACTTTGCTCTGTTAGAAGATCAGAAAATGAAGACAACTATCATCCCAATTGGCCTCAGGCAATCAGCCACCAATTACATTACAAGAATAGATAGGCCAGCCAATGCTCCTGCTTTTTATAAGACCTCTAACTCTTAAAACATCTATAAACCAAGTTCTTCCTATCAAAGATCTATAAGCTAAATCCTCTGAAATTTGTAGCTTTGACAACCGTTATCATAACAAATAAACCACGGAAATAATTTCTTTTTTCCTTTTATTTTTTCATTTTTTCAAGGTACTGAAGCTCCATTAGTTACTTTTTAATGACCAGACAAAATGCAGCTCATGAATTACTGAGGTGCAATTGTGAAACTATTTCCAAACCCGTAGTCAAAGATACAGTAAAGCCCTCCAAAAAGAAGGAAAAGAACTTTATTTTTTTGTTTTGTTTTTATTACGTTTTTTTTTTTTTTTTTTTTGGGGGGGGGGTGTAGTGGGGAGTGGACATGAAATTCAAACTACCAAATTCCAGTTAAATAAACAGACAATCCCTGAAGGAACTGTACAGTCAGTATGAGAGAACTACTGAAGCTTAACAAATAAAAGACGAGAAAAGAGCGAAAACTCAAATCCACAGATGCATTTAAGAATGAAGTTGCATGTGCTAGAAGATATAAATTAGGTATCATAATTACAATCATTTCACATCATGGAACAGTTAAAATAAAGCTGGTTAAATGAATTAGATTATTGTACTGCTGATCTTTTGATGCACATATAGTACATGCTTTGATATCAATACAGACATAAATCATGACTGAGTTATGAGATCATTAAACAATTTGCTATCACTATCAGCTAGAAAAGAACTTTAAAGTTACCTATATTATAGATGACATATTCTCTTTCTTGTCCATTTGGTATTGCAACAACCCCCTCAGGTTCCACAGTCACCAGGTCATGCATTCCACCCTAAGCAAAACCTCTCGTTAAAAGCTTCTCAAAAAGGACAAAAACTATCCTGATATTTTGAGGATAAGTAAACCTGGTTGGTAAGCAAATCCAGGTCATCACTCTTGAAAATTAACTTTTCAGTGTCGAGTAATTTTCTTTGCCAGTTCAGCCCCAGTTCTGAATTGCCTCTCTTCAGTCGTATAGTAAAGCTAGCAGGTATCTGTCATTCGATCTAATGAGATAATTGTCCAAAAAAATCTAATGAGATAAGTTTTCAGTAAGAAAACGTTGAGAAGAAGACAATAAGTAGATACAATGTACATACAGAAGCTGGATATGATATCCTCACTTCATACCACGTATGAGATTTAAGCCCTTGCAGTTGGTTAAGGCGGGAGCCCATTTGTAATGGTAGAGTTTCCTTCCATATCTCCTCTCCAACAGCCAAACCTTTATTTTCAATCCTGTGGAATGTTATAAGATTATCTTATTTTCTTTTTGGTAAGTAATTAGACGTTCTGATGTTATGTGGTGATGTCAAAGGAAATCCATTGAGAACTCATTCAAGTACACTTACAAATTCCCATGACTGAATGGTAGGCCACTGCAATTGAGGCTGAGAATGTAAAGAAGAATGAACAAATCATCTATACATTCCCGAAGCATTCTAGATCAATGAAACGCCTTGTCTGCCTCAACTTCTAAATCCTGGAAAAAACAAATCATCCATTCCGGTTATTTGGATTCCCTCTCTAGTCGGGTGAAAAACTGTACTGCGACAACTAACTTATTTTTTACCCTGTTTTAGTTCTCAGACTAAGCAAAAGTTATCTCAACTTTTGGAAAGACAAGAAAACAGAAAAACAAATGGGATCATCTCAACATGTAAGACGACACACAAAATAAGTACTATTGTGTTTTGTTCACGACCAACACTTTACTAATTCAAAAATTCCTGACAGATACATAACATTGGCTGCCTCAAATTATTTAACTCTTGTTTAATAGAAGGTCATTGTCTAGTATAGTAATAAGATGCACGGGCTAATGATGAAAGACTATATTGTAGGCTCAAATCTGACATCAGCGACTTTCTGCTTGTGTGCAGCCCAACTCCTCTAACACCCTCAAATCTTAGTCACCAAAGCGGATAATGGCATCTTACCCTAATTCCTGAATGAGCTTATGATTGGGTGAACATACAAACAATGGAAATATAAACTGAAATTGAACCTACACATTAGACCTATCTATGGACCTATATCGCTTCATTGTTACTATTTATAGTTTGAGCATACCTGCCCTATTTAGTTGCTGCAAAATTAACTACAGAGACATGTAGATATATGCACACATAAACTCGCAACTTTTGAAATCAACTTGAAATGAAATAATAGCTCCTCACTATATCAGGGGACCAACATTCCCAATTAAATACTGCATGGACAATCCAAACTATATTTAGATGCCTTGATATAGGGTTTAGCATATGTACTATGGTTTACACATATCTATATCTAATAGAAATATGACTGAAACTAGTAGAGGACTCACAGGATTATGATACCAATTGCGATAGTCAAACACCCTACTATCGCTGGGAGTGACAGGGGCTCATTTTAATATTTTGGAGCTCACTTCAAGGGCCCTATAACTTCACAGACAGAAACCGTTCTAAAGGAAGAACAATGTTGTTTCTTCTTTAAGAAGGTCCTATATTCTTTTGTCTTTTCTAATTTTTTTTGTCCCAATAGGCCTAGTTTGGAACATAGGAACCTAGAGCAAGAATGAGAACCTCATCTTATCGCATTTAATTCCTCTATTTGGTACACATTATTGATAGCAGGATTCATTCCTCTAGGCTCTATGGATAATAGACCTACCAAGAGTTCGGTGACAACTTCATTTTCCTGGCACATAACAATACAAATTAAGCTAAAATTATCATTTATAATAATTCTTGGGAAAAAATACTGCTCTAACGAAACATACCAATGAAATCACATTTGAAATTGTATTGCTGGGAGGCTAATCTGTGATGATAGAATTTCATTCTTGGTCTTTTATTTCTGTCATCCAAACTGAGCCTAAGGTGTATTGAACTCTTAGTTCTTTGTTAGCTGGAATGAGAAATAACCTGAGTTGGAATGATCCCCGAATGGTACCATTCAAGTGTTTGGTTAAATGCATCCCAGAATGCAGATTTCATTCCCATTCCATTGTTTGGTACGCGTGAACGCTCTAGAAATGGAATGAAAAATATAAAAATTTACCAGAATAGCCTGGATACCCCCCCCCCCCCCCAAAAAAAAAAAAAAAACAAGTTTATGGGAAATTTTGGCCAGAACGTCGCCATTCTGAGGCCATCAAAATATGAAGCACCCATATGTTTTCAAATAGTAATCACACGAAGCTTAAAACCACACAAAATCTAACATGGCATTAACATGAATAATCATCAAATTGAGGTTTCCGTCGCACCCAAAAACTGGAACAAATTCATATGCTTACATATTCATCAATGATCCATCAAAAGATATCCAATTGATGCCTAAAGATTTCATCAGTTATCATCACAATGTTCCAAACAAGCTTCTAAGTAGAAGATTATCAAACAGGGGACAGCCTCTATGGCTCACCTGGTGCTAGCTAGCGGCGATCATCTGCTACGGCTATGAGGGAGGAGAGAGACTGGGGTGACCGTCCGGGGAGGACAAAACGGGTACGGGTTTGGTTTTCATATTGGGCTCAACAAATTATTGTTGTGAATGGCTATTTTGATTCGAATAATGCCTACTCTAACCCAATTTCTTGGCAGATTTTTTATTAGATTCGTGTGTTTTTTTTTTTTTTTTGGTAATTAATTTTTATAAAGAATTTAATATACACATCATTACGTAATCTTGTAAATTTATTTGACAGACTTAAATCATTATAAATCCATTCGGAAAGACTCAATCCCAATTTTCACTTTTTTAATATAGAGAGCAAGAAAGGATCAATGATTGGCCTAATGGTCACCATAATCTGCTGTTAAACCGTAATATCGCAAGTTAGAACCTCACCAGTACCCTCTCCTACAAAAAAAATTATAAAAAAAATAAAATATAGAGAGCAAGATTGTTGGTTAGCCGATGGCTGGATCGAAATTCGAACACTGTTAGTATAGGTCTAGAGTGTCAAAATATGATATGACCTATTAACACGATACGAAAATAGAGTTTAAATCTTCACTTTAAGTTACTTGTTTAGTAATGAGTGAACCCAATCCGACTCAATTAATAAATAAATCGGATATAAGTTAAAATCAATCAGAAGAAACATGCAACATTATCTCATTTATATACCAGTTATAAACGATTCATACACGACATGACCCGATATGACACAATTTGTTAGACATGAATTAATAAGCAAATTGATTATGGATAAAATACTTTTTGACACAAACCCGCCTAGGTCTCCAGAGTGTACAGACTAGTATTTTATTGGCTTGTAATTATACTATAACTGCAGCATTAGCAAGCGCTCAGTGTTGATCACAACCTTTCCACCAACCCAAACCCCCCCCCCCCCCCCCCCCAATAAAAAAAAAAAAAACCACCCCCAACGAAAAATCCCTTTGATATTTATTTTTGAAATTTGGTGTTGCCACCAAAGCTGTAAAACGCACGATATAATCAGAATCAGATTGAGGCAGTCTTCTTCAAATTCTGTCTTAGGGCATAAAGAGGTAAAGCAAACGCTTTCAATGCTGAATTCTAGAGTGTTTGCATTAAAACCCACGAAAAATTGTGTTCAAGTTGATGGTATATGGTGTGAATTCAACGGGTCGTCCCCCCTTCCCGTGGGTTCTCACACAGACCTACGCCTCACCACTAGGTACGAAATTCAATTCATCAACAGCCAAGCAATTTTATAACATGAACTTAACATGTTGACCTTGCTTTTCGTAACTTTTAAGCCTCTTTCTTTATAGTTCACCAAGTGACCTCATAACCCTCAACCTCAAGGTACTTTAAGAGAAACAGCTGATTGTCCTACCACACATCGCTTCAATCACCGTAGTTCATCCTTTCAATCACAGTAATTTCTCCGATGGTGGCAGCCTTCCGCTAGCCTGAAGAGAACCCCGAAAAAGATCCTCTTTGCAAACTTCAGCCTCTAAGAGCTACCCAACAAAGTATCACAGTAATCAGAAACCAGACGCCATTTAAACAAAATCTGAAACTTTCGATGTGTCTAGCGCCCCCACCCCTCTTTCTATCCACAAGAGAGGATTATTTAAGGCACATGCAAAAGATGTAAGCAGTAGCTAATTTATTCAAGCAACAAAGTACCCCAGATTCAGTTGACAATGGCCAGAGGTTCTGTACTTAGATGCTCAGTTCGGAATTCACTGCAGTTCCTTTTCAGGCAGCCGTAAGATGGCAGGCCACCCATACGTGGTAGGGTAGGGTGGTTGGTACCATTCCTAACCATGTGCAGGCCGGGCTAGAGCGCTTGAAACTCATCACTACCTCATAAGGGCGTCAAGTCCATAATATGTTACACAAAACGCCTGTGTTTGTAGTGTTGTCACACAGCTGCCCACCTCAAGTGCAGAAATCTACAGGATCCAGCATACTTGGGCGCCGTACAAAGGATCTTAAGAAGGATGAGATGTCACCTGAAAGGCATCAATAAATTGCACTGCAATAATCAAAGTTCATTACAGAGAATTTACTCTCTCCCAAATGCACCACTGGTTCAATTTTCCTGTATATGTTTAGCTTGCCAGCTACAGCACAAACGTAGCCAATGATAAATGAGCTTATATATAAGCGCTCACAACTACGTAAATTTGAGTACATCACATCTAAAAGTGCAGTTCGATGCCACAAGAAAATGATGATAAATGGACTAAATGTCATGAAAAACCAAGTTGAGAAAATCAGCAAGAAAAAAATAAAAATTATACAGATTTCTATACCATGGGCACACCTCACTTATATTTACATCGGAAATAAAATTATAACTGCATGAATGCCTCTCAAATCATTTCTTTCTTTTTTTTCTTCATTCTCTGTACTTCTTTGTCCATCATTTGCCTATTCTCAAAAATGTAGCAAAAAGAAAAACATTATGAAATGAAAAGCAAAACAAGTTTTTTTTTTCCTTGGGGGGGGGGCATATTACAGTGAAAAAGGTTAAACGGGAAGATATCTGCTTGACACATATCATGATTGCCAGAATAGATCAAAGTCGTTACTATACAATGAGCGATCTTGAATCTCCAAATTCGCAACATGCCAATTGATGAGCTGGGATTGGATACATTTACAAACCACCAGTGCAACAGGAAAAATCCACCATTCACTTTCATCCCTGCAGCCACACCAATCACAAGAAAAAAGGTTTTAAGGCCATCAGTTAGCAGTTAAGAAATTCCTAAATTCTTGAATAGCTAAACTTTGATAAAGCTTGAAAATTCTTCTCACATGTTCCATGGCTGAAAGTTTGGTAGTTTTCTACTTGGCTGGCCACTGTAGTGAATATACCCGCAAACGAAAGCAACCACCTGATTGGGATTACTGTACTATTCACAAATCAATGCATACAAAGCAAAATAAAATAAACATAATAAAAAAAAAACAAAGTACCATTTCCACCAATCCTGATCACTCATAAAAAGCCTATTAAACACATCAATTGGATATTAATTTGATTGTGCTAGTTAAAAAAAGCAAATATCCAGTTTGGCTCCCATCCTGTGGCCGCTGGCAGGGGTGGACTGAGACGGACCAAAAACTTTGGCAATATGGCTGCCTTTAGTTATGAAACCCAACATTCTCCTAATAGATAGCACCAATTAATGACCCCTACATTGCTTAACAAAATATATAGTAGAGAATAAAATAAGTATTCCAGCCATCACCACATGAATTGTAAATTTTTGAAATATTTATTCTTCATATACACAGGTCATAAAACCCTAAAAAGTAAAAACCATAGAATAGTGTCAAAAATCATCAGAGAAACAAAGAAAATAAATTTAGGAAAAGACATCAGGGACATAGAGCTTACAACATTAATCATAGAAGCGATATTCCACAAAGCATAAACACGTGCAAGCCCAGCAGATCGCCTAGGTCCATGACTGAATAGTGCATTGATTCCAGCAGGGAATGGAAGAAAAATACCGAGCGGTAAAACAAACAAAACCAGAAAGATGTCCGCCAATGAAATTGAATACAACTGGAGCAGAGTAAGCAAAACTAAGCTAAAATCTCCTAAAAGTAGCATTGAGATGACCAAACCAACAAGATCCTGCAGGAAAAGAGAGCTATGTTCAGGAAGAAAGAATAGCATTTAAGAGAACAGCTAGCAGCTTTTCACTAGAAAAGGTGCATCTTTTTATGTCTTTACACTAACACCCACACACACTAAGTGAGAGAGAGTAGCAACCTGATGGACAACAGGTTTAGTGTTATGAATTAGAAAAGAGAGGAGGAAAAATATATCTCTCTTCTCTGCAAGCATTTTTAAGCTGTTAATATCTAAAATCCCACCAGAAACTTTCCGCCTCGTACTTATTTCAGTGCTTCTGTGGTTATGGCCTAAGAGTATCTCTTCTTTCCGATGCCTCAAAGAATTTTCCTTCAAAATGCTGCTAGCACTGCATGAAGAAACAACTAGATGACACAAATAAAATGGGTTTATAGTAAGGGTAGATAAAACAATGTGCTTGTGTGTGAGTGTGAGTATGAGTTAATACATTTAAGACACACACAAACATATTATATATATATAGATGTACATATATATATCGAGCGAGCGCTCACATGAGAGAGAGAGAGAGAGAGAGAGAGAGAGAGAGACCAGAAGAATCAAACCAAAAGATTAAACATGTATATTATAGTGTGCTTATGCACAGAAAGTGATTGCATGAAAATTAGTTAACTAAAAACTACGTGCGATTACATTTTACTTACATTTTTTTCAGTTATTCTTCAGTCTCTAGCATTCTACTCTAATCCCACCTACATGTTAACTGTGTGTCTGTACCTCTTCCTTCTATTTTCGGTAAATAATACAGAAGTGCGTAACGTCAAACGCTGCACCTCTCCAAGTGCGAGTCAAAAAAGATACAAATCAAGCCAACGTTTGGTGGTATATCTTTATACCTGTTGTCTGATTTCTCAATTCTAGAACTTTAGCATCGGATGATTTGTCAATTTGTAGAATTTTAGCATCGGATGATTTGTTAATTTGTACTCATCTATTTTATATCATCATAGACCACATGCTTGACATCATAGTTCACTCTGTATGCCCATGTAACATAATAGGTTATAACAGAAACGTTTTTCCGATTGGCAATTGCCGATGGATGCCTTTGCAACAAGAACACTCTCCTCTGCGCCCAATTGCAAAGAAAGATTTTGTTCCCGACTGACCAAACAGGAAACATTTTGGGGCCTGATAGTGTTCTAGTGATTAAATCCAACATTTAGGGGTGGCAAACGAATCGTATCGTTTAGTGTTCTAGTCATGTCATTTTGGATTTGCGTCGAGTACTAATTAACCTTAATCCGACCCATTTAAGAAACTATGTCAGATATCCCAACACTAACACAACTTGTAAATTAATTGTGCCGTCTTTGGGTTGAATGATAACTTGTGGACAAGAAATTTAAAACTACCACCCTTTTTTCTCTCAACTAAACTTACCACCCATAGTCCCACTGAAAACCACACCACCACTTGATCTTCAGTGCAACAAAATTATGCTGAAAATCCCTTTATGCTACAAGAATTCATACAATACTTGGTGAAGAAATGAAAAAATCAGAAATTTTCATCATACAATCGCATTTAAACAAGTTTGTTGTGTAAAAAATGAGTTATTCGTGTTTGATACTAACCCAAGCCGTTTATCAATCATGTCAACTGGTTCGTGTTGAGAACTTGTCAACTCTAACCCGCAAACTTCGTATTGGGTTTGGACTGTGTTTACGTTTTAGGTAAACATAACCACCCTTACCAATATAAGGACAGGACCAGCACCAAGGTGCCAAAACATAACCTGCTACACGACACCCAACTAGCTGATTAATGACAATCTGCTTCTTTCCATAAGCCACTTATTTCAAACTTAAGATGGGTTGCATATGGGATCCTGTCCTACAGATTCCACTCCTATCTCAACAAGAGTGGCTTGGACTACATTACTCAAATAACCTGTCTTCTTTAGATCCAATCTACAGATCAACAAAGCATGGAACAAAAACATAATGTTTTATTTTTCTTATTATTAAGGATGCTTCAGTGGACACCTATTTACCACATATGCATGTGTGTAAACATAAATCAATTCAAGTTTTCCACCTGTGAGAATACAAATGGACATATAATTACCGTGAATGTAGCTCACTTTGAGTCATTCCATCAGTATTTTCGAACGATATACCCTCAATTTCTTCTTCAACAGCATATACAAGAGTCCATATTAACAACAACCACCAGC